TTTAAATGGAAAATGGATCGTCTTTGGGGCAAGGTTTATTGTGAATATTAAGGGTTTACAATGGTCTGTTATTTTTTTTTTTGACAATAAACTAAAAATTTAGGGGGCGTTGCGTCGTGAGAGAAATGTTCAACTTGGTAAATAACGCAGACCCTAATATACACCCAAAATCTCATTCAGTATCTGAAAAAAATGTGTTTATTTCTTTAAACTTTGCTGCTTAATGAAGTTTTTTTAGAATTTTTTTACTAAAAATCAAGAAAACATTTAAATTTCAACAAAAGCTGAATGAAACTTAAAAAGAGACATAAGAAACTGAAATAGTTGTTGTAAAAATACTTTGTATGAAAATACCTAATCATCTGCATTGTAAATATCAGTTGCCCCATTTCCCAGTGTAAAATTAACGGTGGTCAAAGTGAAAAGCGGCGATTTATCTGGAAAATTTGAATGATTTACGCCGCTCCATAACATTCCTCGAATCTACACGCTCATAATTCGGTCGCGTTGTGCCAGATATGCCAAATTTACAGTCCATAAATAATTAAAGTACAGGTTAAACCGTGCGGGGGGTAAAACAGGGTCTGGGAGGGGTGGTTTATGGATTTAACACCACTATAAAACATTACAGGGTTTAATTTAACTATAGGGATGCTTTTTTTCTATATATATTTATATTAGTCAGTTTAAAACGTTTTTCTACGTTGTCCTATACCCAATTTCCAGCCTGTTCTCTTCGTACAATCCTCTGTCGACAGGTTTCTTTCACTCATCGCTTTGTCTACGTTTTTTTGCCATTCCAGCTTCGGTCTTCCTTGTTTTTTCTGCCCTTTGGTTGTCAATTGATTATTTTCTTGTGCCATCTTGTATTCTTCATTTGCTCTACATGTCCGTAGTCAGATCAGCTGCTTTCTCTCTATATCCTCTGTTATCGTGCCATCTATACCCATTTGTTTTTTATAGTATTATTTTTTATTCGTTGTTTTCTGGAAATTCCCATTGATCTTCGAATTGCCTCTATCCTCTTCTTGTATTGCTCAGTTTTTCTCCATGTTTCTGCTCCATATAGAAGGCTGCTCTTTATCATGGTCTCATATATGTTGAAATTTCTTCGCCTTGTTATTGATTTGCTCCATTCCATTTAGATATTCGATTATTTTTTTTGCGTTGATAATCATTTTCTTTGTTTCTCTGCCATCATTTCCAGGTTATCAAATGAAATTCTTAGGTATTTATACTCTGACACTAAATAATTTCTTGACCGTTGTCCAAGTTCAAATTTCCTTCTTGTGTGCCTGTACATAGATATTTTGTTTTGTCTATGTTAACTGTTAAACCCCCATTCTCCGTATTCCTCAATAATGTTTCTTAGCATAATATATTGCATATGATCTTTGTCATGGGAGACTATTATTTGATCGTCTGCGAATTGAAGTGTGAACAAACATTCATTGTCAATCTCACGGATCTTTCTTTTGCAGTTTTTTAAAGCGACTCCAACGCATATTTTAAAGAGAGTAGGGGAGATGCAACAACCTTGACGTTGGCTTTTTTTTCTACAAACTTTAAAATTATTTGTGTAATAGTTTTATTTAGAATAATTAATTTTTACGACGATATTTATATATACATACGATAAGACTTTTAATGATATTTGTTGTTTTATATATCCAACATTCAATATTTGTGTTGGTTTTCATTCTAGTAGTTTTATATTATACTATATTGGCAATATTTCAACATCAAGCACATTTGATAAACAATATAAAAACCTCTATATATAAAGCTACATTTAACCGAATTTAATTTAGCACAAAATATTCTGAATATTAACAAACTCAACGGTGTATATTGCTGTTGACAACTCTATTATGTCAGGATTGTAATAAACCATTGAAAAAACTGAATATATTTTGTTAACATGACCAAAATTTTAAAATATTAGCATACAAGAGGACAATATCAAAGCAGAACATAATGGTGTTTTCAATTTTGAGCAGCTGCATTAATTTTACATATCAGTTGATTTTTATTCCACATTTTTTTTGTTTATTTACCATTGAAGCATGAAAACCATAGAAATAAAATAAAGCCTTTTTATTTTTCGTCATAAATGTTATTTGGTAGTAATCATTGTTGATTCTAAATTTGACTTTTTTTAGTATTACAAGTAATAGTAATAGATACCAGTAATATACAGGGTGGTCCGAACTGTATTCCGGAAACTTCGGTAGCATATTTTATAGATAAAGATATGTAAAAAAGTTCGTATAAATGTACATATGTCCTAAAATAGTTAGTTTTAGAGATACAGGATGCAGAAGTTTCATTTTATTCCGATTTTTTCCAAATAGTTTCTGAAGTAACATCAAAATTTAGATGAAAATTGGTGTCTGGAAGTTTTTTGACATGAGAAATTTCATTTTGATGTCAATATGACTCCTACTTATAGAGGGCGTCACCTATATAATTTTTAACTGGTTAGGTTCTAAGGCCTTTGAAAAAATCGCAAAAATAGCAAAAATGGGCATTTTTTCGACTTTTTTCCATACATAGTCATGAAAGTTGGCGATGTCACCAATTTTTGCTGTTATTTGCTAACCAAAAGGTGTAGAAAAAGAAAATATAGACTATTGTAGTCTTACGGGAACAGTAACAGACATAGGGGGCGTTTTTACCCTCTTCAAAAATAGCTAAAAACAAGGGTCCAATAATTAATTTTCTCACAAAGCCAAGGTAGCTAAGCCCTCAAAGGTGTATATTTTCGGAATTTGCATAAAATTTCCTACAAATTCTGAAACTTTTTTAATTTTATTACTATGTTTTTAAGAATTACAAATATACTATTAATTCACACATTCAACTTTAACACAAAAACTTTTGTAATAGAACTCACCAGAAAATTTAAAAAAAAATAACCAACTTCTCGTAAGTTCAACTCCACAAAAAATCATAAATAGATTTAACACACAGTCTGTCCAAACCAGAAAAACCCTAAAAATTGAAAACCAACCAGATCGGAAAATAACAATTTCCTTCAAGCTGGCTGCGGTAAAAAACGAAACCGGGAAAAGAAAATCTAGCCACGAAAAACGTCTCTTGAGCTCGAGTGAGTGTGTGTGTGTGGAAAACTTTACTGGCTGCGAAAATTTCCGAATACTAAAACAGTTTCCCAACTACACAGATGGCTGTATATCAAAGAAGCGAAAAGGATATAGGTATCAAAACTTCATCTAAATGGAAATGGGCAGGCGCGTATTGGGAGGGGTGTAGTTTATGTAACTTTCAAATATGAAAGGTATGAGGTGAGGTAAAAGATAAATAAAAGCTTTAGAAAATATTTATAAAATATATTTGAAAAACAGAAGAAATATAGCTTTAAATATAATATTCACATCTTATTATTTAAACATTATAGGCATTATACTTTTAGAATTATTATATTTTTACTATAATTTTTTTTTTTTTTTTTTTTTTTTTTTTTTTTATTTTATAACTTTTTTCACCCTTCTATTATCGTTTATAATTACCACATCCGCACACCTACCGATAGATCGATGACTGTCAACTGCGGCAATACCACTCCGCTACGCGCTACGACAGGCGCCGCCACACGAGCAGGGGGCGTGAAATATCGATAAAATACATAATATATACTATAAAAATATATATTTTTTTATTGTTTTTTTTCTCATATTATACACTATTGTGAACTTAAAATATTCTATATAATTTGACTGATAAAAAGTGAGAGATAACATTTATTGACTAGTATGATTTTTTCCGTAAATAAAAAAAATAAATAGAGTTGGGCCTCCAGTTGGTGACGTCACGAGATTTTTACGTCACAGCTGTCCGGCCGTGTTATTACGGTGGTTACGGAAAAACACAGTAGAACTGAAACTAATAATTTTTTAAAATACATATAATATACATAAACAATAAACGCTTTCGCTTGGCACTTGTAACTTATGTTAAAAGATGCAGCATAGTATTTATTACGTTTCTAATGTAATAACTTAATATTGAAAAATTTGGCACTTACTCCCTGGTATTTCCACTCTTCAATTACAAGTTATCATATTTTATGTAAAATAATATTCCTCAAAAATGTGAAAAAATAACGATGTAAATAAACACGTTACAATTACATAAACAAATATTCTAGAACGTCTATTACACGCCCTACACTATTCGGAGAATAGTTCGAAGCAGGTTAAGGTCGCGTTTCGGTTTATCTTCGGTTGACTTGAGCTATTTCGATTGGTATCGATCTACTTTAGTTTCTTAAAAGCATCTCAAAACAACTCGCCAAATTGCGGAAAAGGGCATATGAAGGGATTTTTTGGAGTTTCCTGTTGTCTCGTTCAATTTCGTTTCGTTTCGAACTGTTTCCAAAACGTATCGGTATCTATACTCGAGACAAAGGACTTTTTTTCATAAATTTCAGTGAAATATCTCAGTGAAATATTCTGTCTTCTGGAAGGATATCGAGAAATGCTTTGCGAAATGTTTCACAAAATAGTTCCACAAATATTTCGTGAAACATTTCGGGCATAGTGCAGAGGGTGTTTATAAGTTTGTCCTGAAATGGTCTGCTAGTGATGTGATATTATGAACCCACTCAATTCTATGACTATGTCATAACTTAAAGAGACATGAGACACGTTTATTAATATTTAAACCAACTGACTTTATTATCGATAAAAAAACACAGTCAAAACACAGTTAAAAATAAATCTCTAAAGGCGGATATTGTCCTACATTATTTTTTCAGGCTTTAAAAAATGTCGAATGTAAAAAATTGGAAGTGCTACGCTTTTTTGGCTATTTTTCTGGCGACCGCCAGTTAACAAAATCACATTTAACCACAATTAAAGCCACTGTATTTACTAGAAATATGATTGGAAAACGGACATTCACCGACTAAAAAACTGACTCACAATTAAAGAGATTCCCTAAAAATCCGTGTGCAATTAGTAAATTTGATAAACTCATACCTGGAGATATAGCATGCACGTCGTTTTCTTAGGATCTATCGTTGCCCTTTTGAAGACGTTTTTGAATATCAACGCCGAAGCGTCCACCTGATTGGTCCTGTTGCCTATCTCCAGTTCTTCGTCGATTTGTTGGTGATTAATGTCGAAAGTCGTCATGAAAGGTCTTCGAGTTCGGTTTGACAAGTACAAATCATCGTCGTAGGGTTGTTTTGCTTCCCCTTGCAGTAACCACCTAGAACAAAAAAACAATTTCTTTCAATCTTGATGATCTAAGATGCGTATAACTTATCTTAGAGAAGAACTATCGGAAGTTCAGGAGCATTAAGAGTGATCAACTCTGTAACCATCAATTCGAAATTAGTTAAAGAATGCCTTGAGAAGCTGAACATATGAGGCAAAGAAAATAAAGTCCGTCTACTCCGGGTACCAGCCCACAAAGGGATAGCAGGTATTAAAAAACAAAGATCTAACTAGAAAAGGAGCGAACACTCCACCAGAACCATTCTGCCACAAGGACCAAAATCGTTCGCTTCACAAATGGTAACAACTTAAAGCAGTACTCAAGAACCTGAAAGACACCATACGTAACCTGGAATGGGAATCTTCCAACGGTCTAAGATACTCGAAGAAATGATATTATACTCTCAGGATTTAGGACCGAGAAAAATCAATGACTTTACTTGATTTTAGTAAGAACAAACCTCGGCTTGTCACGGGGTTTTTAACAGGACACTCTCACCTCAATGAACACCTCAGCAGATTGAAGCTAAGGAACGGCGAATGCAGATTCTGTGCGGAAAATGGGGAAACACCTCAGCACTGAGTGCGCAGAGAAGACAACCATTAGTACCATAAACTTTAGTATGACTGATATCGAAGATGGAGAACTAACATCTGTAGAACCGTCTCAGATACTGGCTTTTGACAAAATCTTTAGACATTATGATGAGTTATAACTCAAGAAAAGGGGACAAAATAGATCTATAAGGTCGCAGTGATTAACTCCCCACCCTCCTACAAGCAAAAATTTTATCCCCGTATTTTTAAATAACCCCAATTTTCGTCTAGTTTTACTAAAGATATTTTTAAAGATGGATTTCTTTTGTGGTTTCCACAAGAATTTACATAAAAAAGATAAGTTTCTACTAAAAGCAATTTAGATGAGATGCATACATACATAAATATGCAAAAGACCAAACTACGCAGATAAAAGAATTCGAAAAAGTAATCTGCATTTTAAGTGTTTAATTAAAATTATAATTACTTGATTAGCAATTGGAAAAAAATCAAACAACGTAAAAATAAATAAAAAGTTTATGAATAAATCTAAAAGGATTATAATTTATTAAAGTGTGATATAATTTTGAGAGAATTGCATGTTTGGCATAGCGGCTAGACTATAAGAAGTATATTTATTAAAATTTAAAGAAAATTCTAGGTATCTAATTGGTATCAGTTTTTAAAAATAAATTTTAGAAAATTCAATCAATTTCTTCAGTAATTATTATAACTGCCGTAACTAATTTTTATTTACCTTTTTTCTCTGAGATGTGGATATTGTGGTCCATCGTTCAAGAAGTTCTTTTCGTAAAATCTATGGGAAGCACATGGTATTCCATCACGTGGGTCTTTCACGTCAGACACCCTGTATATTATTGAATGGAACGTCGGTTCCTTATAAGTACTATCGTTGAAGTACCGATTGACAGGTTCTATGTGAAATTCTTCGGTGGGGGTGACTATGGTGCCTTCGAAAAGGCCATCTGTTGTTATGATGCCATGCACTGAAGCTGTATCGTCATCTGAAACAAAAAATTCTCATTAGAATTGAAGATATTTGTCACTGATATAATCATGAAATATTTTATCGCTACAATGTTCAATATCAATAAAATAACACATTTAAGCAAAATAAGCTTTGTGGGAATATGTACAGGGTGATTCTTAACCTATACGCATAAGTTTGGGAAATTATTGCTGATGACAAATAATGACTAATAATGAAAAAAAAAGTTAGTAAAATATTTTTATTTACGGAGATAACAAACAATTTGAAATACAAACAAAAAACGTAAATTCCATTAAAATGAATATGCATTTACTGATAAAGTTGATAAATTTTTGTGAAAAAAAACTCAAATTATTTCACAATCTAAAAATATTTTACTAACATTCTTTATCATTATTAGTCATTATTTGTCATCAGCAATAATTTCCCAAGTTTATGCGTATAGGTTAAGAATCACCCTGTATGTATCCATATAGAAATATTCCGGAGATACAAATAAAAGAAAATATTAAAAAATATATGGAGAAAAACACAGAAAAGTTAAACAACAAAGAACAAATGCAACATGCCTAAACTTAAATGGTAGTCCAACAATGAATATAACAATTTAGCAGTTTTTATTCGTGAAAGTATAAAATAGCCTCTACACTATGCGGAGAACTCTTCGAAACAGGTTAAGGTCGCATATCGTCGCATTTCGATTCATTTCCAGTTGTCTTGACCCACTTCGGTTTGCCTCGACTTACTTTCGATTCTTAAAAGCGCCTGAAAACTACTCGTGAGGAGGGCATGAGGGGATTTTTTTGGCGTTTCCTGTTGCCTCGTTCAATTTTCTTTCATTTTCAGCTATTTCCAAGACGGTATCTGTACCCGAGGCAAAGGATTTTTTTTCATAAATCTCAGTGAAATAAGTAAACCTAGACGTTTCTAACATAGCGGTTGTTACGATATTTCGTTAATTACATCTCGTATTATGTTGATATATATTCCACAAAATTAATATTTTTACACGCGTTTATAATATGTAGAGTAGATATTTAGGAACAAAACTTTTCACTCAATCTGCAGGAATATAATTACAATATATTTATTATTAATTTTATTATAATGAATAAGTATATACAATTGTATATGTTGTTTGTTTACGCGGCCTTAATTGATTAATAAATAGTAGTATTGCTTGTTGAGTAATACTGGCAACATCATCAATATATCGAGCTGATTGGGAACATTATTGATTGACCCGATGTCAATTAAAGAAACTTTTATATATAATAATAACATGGTTTGATATAAATATATTCAAAAATAAGAAATGATGCCAATTTTTTAAATAATTTAACTTGTTTTTAATAATTTAATTTGTTTTTTTTTATTGTTAATCTGGGTTAACAATAAAAAACAAACAACCAATCACGGCGCGTCTCGATCAATTTCAGGAAACGTGGGAACTAATTTTTATAATACGGGTCTATATTTAATTTTACTTCTGAAAGTATTTCTAGAAATGTTTCAGGAAATATTTCCAGAAATATTTCGTAAAACAATTCGGGGATAGTGTAGAGGCTGTTTAAAATTTCTACAGATGGAGCAATTTTTTTAAAACGCTATTTGTTCAAAAATGGTAAAACCAAAATAGAAATTATTTAACTGCTTCACTGCAAAGAAAATTAATTATTGTAATTAGAGTTTCCCCGATTGCAGATGTATTTTTCTTTTCTTTTTTTCTGTATTGTGCTGGAAAAATCTGGAAAGGCAGCTCTCGACAGAATTAATCTTCGATGATGCGAAAACAACGTTTTTTGACGTTTTTCCATCTAGATTCGTCCGTTTTCATTTTGGCGATTTCATTTTCAATCGTTTCTGACTGAAGACTGAAGCTTTTATAAAAAGGAAAGCTCTAAGATCAAATATTTATCTCGTAAAAAATGTGTGGGTTTTGTATAAAATGTTTTATGATTAGATATAATAAATACGGTCAATATTTCTACGGTTTATATCAAATAAACTTATAGTTCACGTGATTAAGCTTGACCGGCACAGCGTTGCCCACTTTTACATATTTTCTTTAAATTAAAATATTTTAGGAAACAGAAATAAATTAATAATAAATATACAAACAGTTATTATTTACATCAACAAAACCAGGGCCATTACTACCGCTTTCCAGTTCAAAATATTCTAATAAGGTTGCGATGAGTTTTACTACTGCTATTAAGCTATCTTGTACACTTCGCACTAGAAGAAGTTCTAAAAAGAACAATGTTCGACTGCAAGGTCTGCTAGTAAACACTTTTAAGCTTAAAGTATCACAACACAATTCATTTACACCAAAAACTCGTTATACAAAACTAAAGTGTCAAAACGAATGACAATGTTAGGAAATAAATAAATAAATGTGGGAACTTGACATTTTTTACAGTAGAGCTACCACCTGAATCCCCAGGGGGAAATTTAAATTCCAGTTGGTCAGCCGCCAGGCGCCGAATATGTCCATGGTTGGTTTGGTTTGGCAGTAAAATAGTCCGTCTATTCTTCAAAATGCCTAATGAGGACTACTCGGATTGCGCAGGATTGCTATATCTAAGCTAAATTTATCCAAGGAACATTTCTTGAGCAAATTTCTTTCAAAATTAAGAAAAAATGGAACAAAATAGTAATGATTCTGTTAATGAGTGTGATCAAGGACAAGAATTACAAAGTGTTAAAATCATGTTATTCTAAAAGACAGCAAAAAAAATCCGACGAGTTTATAACTCATCATACAGTCTCGCGGCTTTGACAAAAGCCAGTATCTGAGACGGTTATACTACGGTTTTGTTAGTTCTCTATATCCAATATCGATCGTACCAAAGTTTATGGCATGAATGGTTAGGTTAGACGACGACGAGTTATGAGGTGTTATGGTGTTACCCATTTTTGTTTATTATATCTTTGTTGTATATTATGAGCTTCAATCTACTGAGGCGTTCATTAAAGAGACAGTGTCCTTTCTAAAACCTCGTGAAAATCCGAAGACCGTTCTTACTTAAATCAAGAGAAATCTCTGATTTCTCTCGGTCGTAAGTGCTGAGAAATTTCTTCGAGTGTCTTAAACCGTTCTCAGTACTGGTTACGGATAGAGGCTTCCAGGTTCTTGAGTTCTGCTTTAACTTGGTTTCAATTAGCAGAACTGTTAGGTTAGGGCTACGCTACGTTTCTAGCCAGATCGTTTGCTTTTCATTACATTTGGTTGGCTGGCACCCAGGAGAGGAGAACTTTAACTTTCTTTGTCTAATTTATTCAGCTTCTCTCGCCATTCGTTAACCAGCTTCGAACTGATGGGTACTGAGTTCATCGTTCTTAAGGCTGCTTGACTATCGGACAAGAAAGGCTACTTAATAGGCATAATAAATAATAATTATTTTTGAGAAGTGTAAAACGACACTTCTAGCACAACCTTGTTATTCTAACGAATCTTTAAGAACACTATTAGTTTTGAAAAATTCTACCAGGATATTTTGACTATTCCGGAATTTTATTCTACATTATAGAAACAGTATCTCCATTCTTCAGCCATCTATTCATTTCCAATTATAGTGCAATTCCTCGCATATTTAGATATTCTCTTTGTAGTTGGGCCCATTGTTGTCTATTGTTGACTATGCGGGCACAAGTTATCCCTGCTAATTTTCTAATATCATGATCCCATCTCAGATTTGGTCTTTTTCTAGGTCTCTTAATTTCCCCTGGGCCCTATGCTGTAATTTTTGTGGTTGTCCGTCCTTCTTGCCAGGTGTCCTGCCCATTGCCACTTGAAGGATTTGATTCTGTGGATGACATCTATTACCTTGGTCTTTTGTCGTATCCACTCTATGCTTTTACGGTCTTTCTTGATTATTCTCAGCACATTTCATTCCATTGAGCATTTTGCGACCTGCAGTTTCCTTATAATGTCCGTTTTAAGTATCCAGGTTTCGACTGCATAGGTCATGACTGGTACTACACATTAGTCGAATGTTTTCTTCTTGAAACAAAGCGACATTCTAGATTTGAACACAAATCGGTTTCTTCCATAAGTACTCCGTGCTAACTTAATTCTTCAGGTAGTGGAGATCCCGAGCTGTGTATTAGTTGTTCCAAATATCATGTTCTTCTACTATTTCCAGTGTTGTGTTATTTATTAGAATGTCTTTTCTGTTTACTAGTTCCCATTCGTATCAGAAACCTACTTAACCATTTTACTAGAAACAAACATTTTAAGTCGATTTTAAACCTACCTCTAACATACTTTTAAACTCTAAGAACCAAAATACACACAGTTTTCAACGAAATCCTTTACTACGGGCCCAAACGACTTCCTCGACTATTAATTCTACATTTATTTCAGCATTTTACTGTGACGATACGTAAGTGGAAAATCCCTGGACGGAGTTTCCTCGAATCCGCCGAAATAAATCTGTCGTTTTTCCGGCTTAAAAATTCTGGAAATCGTGCCGGATATCGGCGCGGATCGGAATTTGATTTGGAAATTTTCGTTAATCGAACAGTGGAAGAACGAGTGGGAGGGATAAGGGGAGAGGATAGTTTTAGGAGTTGTAGAAAGCGGAGGAAAAGTTAATACGCAAACTTCGATTGAATTAGATATCGGAGTAGATCAGGTTTTTTAATGTATTTTAATTATAGTCTTGAATTCAGTAACGTTTTTAGGAGAGAATTATACAAAAAGCAAACTAAAAAAGGTTTTTTAAGGTTTAAATGCGATATATGATCGAAGTTCGAGCTGTAAAATATTTGTTACAATAAATATCTTGGACAGTTCGAGAAAAAAGGATTAACGACTTGTTCTAAAATTTTACAAACCCCCTTAGGGGGGGGGGGCAAATAAAAAGTAATGTAGTATATGCCTTTTTAGGGCGCGATTTTTAACCCAAAAACCTAATACACAATTTAGAGATTTCATGGGGGGCCTAGGCTCCATCGCCCCCCCCCCCTCTCTGTATCCGTCACTATATACAGCTTATGCGAAAAATT